CATAAATGATCCCCACATTATTCATGAAATCATCTTTTTCCCACTGATACGCAATGTCAGGTATTCTATGTCAATTTTTTGTATTTATGTGAGTCCTTTTCCAGGTTCTTTTTTATTTTATTGATCTATTCCTACATCAAAGCCGTACTATCTTGATCATTACTGATTTTTAATAGATTTTAATATTTGGTAAGAAAATTCTCCTATTTAATTCTTCTCTAAGAGTACCCTTACTTAATTTTAATCCTTTGTTCCTTCTTATAGCTTTTAGAATCATCTTTTCAAGTTCTATAAAAAGTCCTGTTAGGATTGTGATTGACATTGTATTGAATTTATATATTGACTAGGGGATTTTTTACATCTTTATTATATTGTCTTCTTATCCATTGAGTTGGAATATTGTTACATTCATGCAAGTCTCCTTTCCTGTCCTTCAATAAACGTTTTTGCTCTTGGACACCGTGCTTTACATGGGCTGAGTCATTTCATATAGTGTGTGGGAGCCAACACAATACTAAAATAGCGTTTCCCAGCCCAAACTATGCCTTTTCTCAAGGTGATAATCTACATGCTCTGTTGCATCTCTCAGGAATGAGTGGCAGAGAACAGCAGAAGAGAGAGCCTCCAAGGCTCAACCACAGTCCCTAGAGTCAACCAGCACAAGCATTCGCAAGGATGTGGAACAACACAAACTCTTGCTGGGAGACACAGGATTGGGAAAACCATTTTTGAAAACAATTTGGCATTATGTAAAATTGTTGGAGTCTTTTTCTGACTACCAACCAGTAATTCTGTTCTGATATTTACTCTTACTAAATAAAGTCTAGACTGGCACTGTCCAATATGGTGGTTACTAGCTACTTGTGGCTATTTAAATATATATATAAATTAATTAAAATTAAAAGAAATTTAAAAATTCAGTTCCTCAGTTGTACTATCCACATTAAAATGCTCAATATCCACATGGAGTTCCAGTGGCTGCTGCATTGGATAACTTAAATAGTGGATATTTCTTTTATAATAGAATGTTCCATTGGATTACGTCTCCTAGAGAATCTCTCTCTCTTTTTTTTTTTTTTTGAGATGGAATCTCACTCTGTTGCACAGGCTGGAGTACAGTAGCATAATCTTGGCTCACTGTAACCTCCGCCTCCCGGGTTCAAGTGATTCTCCTGTCTCAGCCTCCTGAGTTGCTGGGATTACAGGCATGCGCCACCACACCTGGCTAATTTTTGTATTTTAGTAGAGACGGAGTTTCACTATGTTGGTCAGGCTGGTCTTGGACTCCTGACTTCATGATCCGTCCACCTCGGTCTCCCAAAGTGCTGGTATTAGGCGTGACCCACCGTGCCTGGCCGAGAATCTCTTAACTAGAAAATAACAGTAAGATTATTCACTGTAGTACCGTATATAATGAGAAAAAAAGAAACAATGTCTCTATCAACAGTATAATGTACAAATAAATTTTTATGTATTTATAAAGCTGACAACTATTCAGTGAAAATCAATGAACTCCACTACACGCATCAACACGTGTGCATTGGAAAAATCCTGTGGAGTGCAAAAAAGTAAGTCTTGGAAAAAAACATATAACATGACTCAATTCATATATAAGTTAAATGGGCAAAACCTGTCATATAGCTTGTTAAATTTTTTTTTTTATTATCACACCTGATCCTGAGACGGTAGCAGGAGTAATGTAATGCTTCTGAAGTGCGATCCAAGGCAGAGAGGGTTCCAAGAAACTAGAGTCACGTTCAAAGACCTCCTGACTTCATTGGCCTACTTTTCATTCAGGATAATTTTACCGGTTGCATTTATTTAGGGGCTGTGTACTACTCACAGGAAACAGCAGAATTCACCAGGATGCTGTCCAGTGACTCTGACCATGTCTGGATCCCAAATCCCTTTGAGAATCCAATGAAGTTCAATGTTAGATTCTTTACGTTTGTACAGTTATGGAGCTAGTTTTAAAAACTGGCCCAGAACTTTGCAAATCAGAGGTTCTGGAGCATTTTGCAGTGGGGTTGAAAAGCATGATGTGTAGTTAATATTTTGCTTTCCACATGTATGGGTTCTTTTAAAACGTCTAAACACACCTTTTACATCTTTGGTTCACGAAACTGTAATCCCCATCCACTCTGAATGAACCATAACACATTCCAAATGAGAAGGATACAAAATAATGAGATAAGTGCAAAAGAATAGAAGGAATTGCATCCAGAAAGATCATAATAGGGGTAGGAATGTAGAGACATTTGGATCTTTTAGGCTCAGATGAGAGTCATCAGAAAAAGCCTCTAGAGAAAAACATGGGGATAAAGAGACTCTGCAGCTAAGATGTGAGATGTCCCAGGCCTGGAAGTCGGGGGGAGCTTATGTCCTCTTCCTCCAAGCATGAAGCCAGCCTCCTTCCTTGTCCACCCAGCACAGGTATGAGTTTAAGAACCTTCACCAAGCATGCGTCTCAAGACTCTCTGATATCTTGAGATATCTGAGATATGGCTATAGTCATTTTCCTACTGTATCTCTTAATCATCCCTAAATATAAACATGGATCCAAATATTTAACCCTATAGTTTTTCTAACACCAAGTACAGGGAAGCCAGTGAAGTCTCTGTTAATGCTTTTATGCCCAAGAATGTAAAGAACTAGAACTCGGCAACATGGGATGCATGTCTCTCCCCGTGACCTTTGAAACCAGTGTGCTCAGGGGTTACAAGTACCACCACTTACACTGCTGTCCTGTGGCAGTTACACGCACATGCCTGCCATTCAGAGTTTTGGAGTGTGCGTTGACATCTGTGTGTGTGTGAAGATAAATGGGTGCTTGTTTGGATGCAGGACATGATACAGGGCATTGCTGGTATGCTGTCAGAAACCTCATGTTAAAATGAGCCACCCGAAGGACAGCTTCTGACCCTTGGAGTCACTCACTCACTTATGGGACTGCATCTCCAGTCTACAATTGTCTTTTTACTATGGGAGCAGAAAGTTTGAATCAAAAGAGAACATTGAATCAAAATCAACAACTATTAAACAAATGGACAATTAACAACTACTAAACAAAATATGGTTCCTTCTATGGTAATTTAAAAAATGACTGTAACATTGTACATTTTAGGAGGAAAAAGGATCAAAAGAAGACTAGAAACCTAAGTGAGCCTGGAGAAAAAGCTAAGTGGAGACATTGTAGCTAGTCGATGAGAATGAACATAGGAAAATTTAACTTAGAAACTGAGAAAAGATTCCAGTGAACCAAATATCTCGACACAGCCCTCGGAACACAGCACCAGGACGCGTGAGTAATGGCGTGCGCTGAGCAAGTCAGAAAGATGCCAGGACTACTGCCTCAATGGGAAAAAACATCCCCTGGGCTTGTCCACAGGGCCTCTCTGGCTGCACCACGGCTGCTACTGTCACTAGTTAGGATGGAAAATGTGATGAAACTGATTTGTCTTTCCTAATCCGGACACACACTCGATTCTACCATCTTTATTTTCAGGACCAAGGCATTTGGTGTTTTTTGTGTGCCTGGTAATGTTGTTTGCCAAGTATATTAGTCAGGGTTCTCTAGAGGGACAGAACTAACAGGGGATGGAGATACATATATGAGTTTATTAAGTATTAACTCACGCCATCACAAGGTCCCACAATAGGCCGTCTGCAAGCTGAGGAGCAAGGAGAGCCAGTCCAAGTCCCCAGACTGAAGAACTTGGAGTCCCATGTTCAATGGCAGGAAGCATCCAGCATGGGAGAAAGGTATACGCTGCGACTCTAGGCCAGTCTAGTCTTTTCACGTTTTTCTGCCTGCTTTATATTCTAGCCATGCTGGCGGCTGATGAGATGGTGCCTACCTAGATTAAGGGTGGGTTTGCCTTTCCCAGCCCACTGACTCAAATGTTAATCTCGTTTGGCAACACCCTCACAGACACACCCAGGATCAATACTTTGCATCCTGCAATCCGATTGAGTTGACATTCAGTATTAACCATCACACCAAGCTTTTGCTGGAGCCTCTTGATGACAATTTTGATTGAGTCAGAAGGATGAATTTGGCAGAGATGTCGGTCATATTAACAATTCATTGCACAGGTGGAGGACCTGAGGTCCATATCCAACTGCAAATTTCTGCCTGCCTCCTGCCTCCAGGATGATCTGGGGATGTGCTGGCCTCTCAGCATTATTGCCCATGCCCTAGTATGGTGGAATTGTGTTTAAAAGTGTGACGGTTTTATTCTTCATAAGAATCAGACTGCCTTGGTTCAAATTGTAACTCCATCACTTTGCAGGTTTGTGGCCTCTGGCAAGCTACATAACTTCACTGACCCATATATGTGATAGAGATAATGATAGGGTTATTACGGGAGCACACCTGATGATAGATGTAAAGCACTCAGTACAATGCCTGTTTGTAGGAAGCATCTAATAAATTTTAGTTGCCACTATAACTAAGCACTTGCCTCTTTTTCACATGCCATTTTAGCCAGATCAAATAGGTAGGAAAAAAGGCTATCAATCATGAAGTTTATACTTTCCTGTTTCTAAAAAGGTACACTTCTAAAAACTTATATAATCCATTTATAGCTATTAACTTAAACTTGGAAAGTTTGGATATTTGGTCTGTCTTCAGAAGTGTTTATCTGAGGATGTAAGCCCTACCACTCAAATTACTATGTATCACCACTGATGTGCATTATGTTGATTCTTATACCTATTATATGCATGTGTGAAACTAAGCCCCATAAAAACAGAATTGAGGCATTCCTGCTGAAAGGAAGTGAATTGAAGGGAAGAGAAGCAGAGCCTTTGCAAAGAGAAAATTGTCCTATCTCTCGACCAGTGTCAGAATGTGGAAATGTTTACAAAATGCTCATTAAAAGAAATAGGGATTGCAAGATAGAAACAAATTCTGGTGCACAAGTTTACACTAGGGAGATAAGAAAGGCTAGGCCCCTATAGGGGATTTTGTTATCCAATTACTGCAACCTGACTTTTAGGGGGAGAGGAAGAGTGGTAGGGGGAGGGAGAGAGAGAGGAAGAGTTTCCAAACTTGTCTCCAGTGACAGGAGACATTTACGCTCCACAAGATAAAACTGCCACTTAGAGCCCAGGAGAGCTAAACCTTCCTGGCTTGGCCTAGGGGCTCGAGCAGAGTCATGGGCTCTCTGGGCCTGACACTGTGCGCTCTTTTCTGCCTGGCAGCTCACTTGGTTTCTGGGAGCCCCATCATGAGCCTAGAGCAGTCTCCTCTGGAAGAAGATATGCCCCTTTTTGATGATGTTTTCTCAGAGCAAGATGGTGTCGACTTTAACACACTGCTCCAGAGCATGAAGGATGAGTTTCTCAAGACACTAAACCTCTCTGACATCCCCACGCAGGATTCAGCCAAGGTGGACCCACCAGAGTACATGTTGGAACTCTACAACAAATTTGCAACAGATCGGACCTCCATGCCCTCTGCCAACATCATTAGGAGTTTCAAGAATGAAGGTAAGTTTTTGCTGATGAAATTTGGCTTGGATTTTTTTCAAGACACGATAAGTAAATTTACAATGCATGGGAATGATATAGGTAAGGCTAAATACATCTATATAAGGATGTTAAACACATACAGATACACAAAAACAAGGCACATTTTGGTCTATACCATTTATATAGTCATTTCAGAACCTCAATAAATACTTACAAACATCTTTTAATCCAAAGCCACAAAATATCTATCAATTTGACATCATCATTGGGTCCTGTTAAAAAATGTTAATTTGAACACCAAGCAACACAAAGAATTAATGTTGGTCTACTGCCGTATCTTTGTCATTTTCCAAATAGGCCTTGATTGCCATTTGGGCTTTTAATTAACTAAAAAATTTCTCAACTTCTACTTAGAATACCAAGGATAAAATCAGTCAAAAAACATCAAGTTGTGATTTGTGTTTTGTTCAAACTTTTGATAAGTTTTTATTTTGTGACCTTATTTAAGAAATATTCAAACAGGATGGAAATATATTTTAAAGATTCTTCCTAAGGCTGTGTTGTTTGATGTGTCATGTACATCCTTAAAGCACTGTTTACAGTTTCCAGGAAGTGTGGATGGCCCATTAATCATCCAGCTCATCATTTCCGTCTTTATAAAGAGCAACGTACAAGCTTTGAATTACTGGTGGGAAAAGTGTGTTTTCTTCTCCTCAGTCTTTAAATTTGGTAACTAAATCTAATGAGCTAGCAAGTTATTTATTTTCTATTTTTTATTTTTTGCTTAATATGGTCCTGGTAGGAAAAAAAACTCTGATATCTAAATATCCATGGTAGAAGCTGATAGTCCAAATGAACTAATTTAATATTTGCCAATTATGTTTTTATAGTCACAAAACAGGTATAAAAGAAGCTTCCCATCAATGTTGGCCAGATGTTCTCAAAAGAAGAAAGGTAATAGTGAAGAAATAGCTCAGGGCTTGGAATTTTAAGGTCTGGTTGGCTTAGTGGTTGTAAATAATTAGCTGATGACTCAGAGCCTCAATTTCCTCATCTGTAAAGTGGGGGTAATAATACCTAGTAACATAGTTGAGTGACTCAAAAGAGGTTACAGATAAGAAAGCACTCCATTTACTATGAAGTGCTGATCAAACTTCAGTGATTACTAATGAGTTACTTAATATTCTAGGTGCTGGAATAAATGTTGAGTAGGTATTCCTTAGTCTCTAAGATATTATCTGCCTTTAAAATTGAGTTGGCTGACAAAATTTCTATTTCATAACATCTTTCTCATGGAAATGGCAAGATGAGATTACAGATTCCTTTTGGAGGGGAGTCTGAATTGAAAATGAACAACCTCCTCCTGTAAGAACCCTCCCTAATACTTCTCAGCACCGAGCCCTAAGTGTCTGGCTCTGGGTGCCGGTGAGAAAATGTTGTTTGCATCCCCCGGAAAAGTAGAAACGTTTTCCGTTCTCACTTCTCTCATAGGGTATCTGGATGATCCAGGTCAGGATGTGGAGTTTACTGTGCTTATTATTACTGGAGATTATTGAGGGCAGGAACACACATCTCTCAGTAAACAACCCAGCCGCCAGCACCTCGGCCTGTCTGCAGGAAATGTGCAGCCTGAGGACAGAAATCGCACAGGGCACACCCTGTTGGCTACTATTGCCTCTCTTCTTACTCTTTGGATCTGCTTAGTGCAGCTCCCTAGGAGACAAAGACCAAAAACAAACTCCAAACCTACATCATCTTAGGAAAAAAAGTGCCACCTCCAACGTGAAAAAAGCATGCCCTCAATTCCTAGCACTGCTCCTTTATCACCTTGTCAGGGGAAGTCAGTTCTCTGCATCGAGGCTTGATTTCTTCTGGTGCAAAATGAACAGAGAATCAGTACCTGCATTATGGGGTCATTGTGAGAACCAGAGAAGATCATGGTTGCAAAGCATCTGGCAAGAGAAATTTGTCAATAAACATTAGTTCTCTTGCCCTGAAATGTAACTCTTCAGTCTATTGCTTACTGCATTTGCACATGCACAGAACGTCACAGCGAACTTACTTTTTCAAAACAGTCTTCTTGAGGTATATTTGACTTATAAAAATATTGGTGTATAAAAGTATAATTGCACATATTTAAAGTGTATAATTTGAAAGGTTTTGACATAGGTAACATTCATTGAAACCATCACCACAATGAAGATCATGAATATATCCATTAACACCAAAAGCTTCCTTGTATGCTTTGTAATGCCTTCTTCCCACTACAGTGAGCTCTTATTTTATACTTTTCTCCTGGGTAGAGCAGCCAGCCTACTCCTCCATGTTCCCTGTCCATGGGGAGTCAAATCTCCTCCCTTCTAAGAGTGGGAGAATAATTCCCAGGCCCAACCCAAGAGCTTGATGATGGATTAAGGTCATATGTCACGCCCATAAATCAATTTAGTCTGATGCCTAGAATCATCAACTAATCAATATTTTTAAAGCACTACCTCTGTTTAAGCCATCATAGTAGGACAGAGACATACAAGGGAGTTTTGAGCCATTCAAACCAGGAGGATGGCAATCTAGTTGGGAAAATTCATTCATAAAAAGATGGCTGAAATATAAGGACGTAAATGACAAAGATCAAAGGAGATGTAAAGTGCTCAAGTGATTTCAGAGGGGAGGGGAGGGAACTTTCAGATAAAGAAGTAAGGGAGCCTTTTACAGGAGATGTCAGAGATGGATAGGTGGAGGTGAGGTGAAAGGGCTTTCCAAGGGTCAGAAGAACAAGTGAAAACGTGAAAATTACGGGGAAAAAAGAGTGTTTTGACAGGTGGTAAAGATATCAATGTAGTTGAGACAGAAGGGTTTACAAATCCATTCAATTGTTCACAAATATTACTGAGTAATCACAGTGTTCCGTGCACTGTGGAGGATGTAAGGAAGTTATGTCTGATCAGGAGGCTAAGATCCATGTATAGCTGATCTTGAAAGCCATTCCAGGGAGTTTAAATTCATTCTGTAGGTCAGCATTTCCCATTGGCAGTGTGTAAGATGATTTTAGGTGGTTCCCATAGAAAGCTATGAATCATGTGAAATAATTGTATATTTTTATTAATATGGATTTTTAGCAAACATACATAAACATCACCTCAAATCTCTCCTTTCATGAATGATGTTGCTTAGGAACATCATTCTAAAGTCTAAAATGGATAATAAGTGTAAAATAATTAGATCAAGTTAAAGAAAAATATTAAAAGATTATAATCTGGAACAGGGACTCACTGAGATCATGAATTAAGTATATACTTGGAGAAATGTTGCCAGTGATGAGGGAGAACCCCCAGTTGGTGGTCCTTAGCATCTTCGGTGCCATGAAGCCCTTTGATAATCTGATGGCAAATGCCTTCAGGGCTTCCTTGTAGACTCATTACCTGAGGCAAGTGTGCAGGAGCTTTGGGCTAACTGTAAAATATTCAGATAGGAAGTCAACATGATAGTATTTGGAGGTGTCCTTTTAAGACTAAAGGACTTTTACAGAGTTGATTCGTAAACATTATTGAGTGAGTTATATGTGCCATGCTTCATGCTAGGTGCTAGGGGTACAAGACTAAGGCAACCAATCTAGTCCCAGGATTCACTTTCTCCCATTACTCTTTATAGAGGACCATATAACCAAAAGTCAATTGCTGTGACCCTCTTGGTTTATGGCTGTCTTATTGACCTTGTCAGGCTTTGTTGCCTAGAACAGAAGTCAGCAAGTTTCTTCTGTAAAGGTCCAGACAGATAATAACGATTTTAAGCTTTGCAGGCTGTATGTTCTCTGTTGCATCTATTTAACTCTGCCATTATAGTGCAAAAGCAGCCACAGACAATACAAAAACAGTGGATGAGGCTGTGTTCCAATAAAACTTTATTTCCCGAAGCAGGTAGCAGGCCCATTTTGGCCCATAGGCTATAATTTACCAACCTCTGATCTAAATGGAGGTCTTTTAGGAAGAACAGTGCCCAGCCAACTGTGTGGGGATCTCCACCCACTACAAACACAAATATTAAAAAACCATGAAGTCCTCATCCCTGAAAAGCTTCAAGAAAAGAACAATCACATGTCCCATTTGATAGCTCTTTGTTGGTCAGGAAATTTGGGGACTTGCCCACGCAATCTCCAAGTTCTCTCCCAGTTCTGTAATTCTGTGTCTGATGAGCTATTCAAGCAAGGCTGGCTAAGTTTTACCCCATCCATTAGACCCCCATTTTCCATTTTAGTCTTGGCAACTGAACTCTTTTGGGCATTCTACCACTGACCTTTCGGGATTTCTTGTGTCACACAGAATGCTGACATTGTGTTTGTCCTCATTGATCTTCTCCCTTCGTTCTTTCTGCATTAAGCTTTATGCATGGGAAGGCCTTCTTATTACATAAATAAGCATCTGTTTTTCCCTGAGACCTACTGCAAACCTGATTTTTGCAAATTTCTTTTTTCAGATCTGTTTTCCCAGCCAGTCAGTTTTAACGGACTCCGAAAATACCCCCTCCTCTTCAATGTGTCCATTCCTCACCATGAAGAGGTCATCATGGCTGAACTTAGGCTGTACACACTGGTGCAAAGGGATCGTATGATATACGATGGAGTAGACCGGAAAATTACCATTTTTGAAGTGCTGGAGAGCAAAGGGGATAATGAGGGAGAAAGAAACATGCTGGTCTTGGTGTCAGGGGAGATCTATGGAACCAACAGTGAGTGGGAGACTTTTGATGTCACAGATGCCATCAGACATTGGCAAAAGTCAGGCTCGTCCACCCACCAGCTGGAGGTTCACATTGAGAGCAAACACGATGAAGCTGAGGATGCCAGCAGTGGACGACTGGAAATAGACACCAGTGCCCAGAATAAGCATAACCCTTTGCTCATAGTGTTTTCTGATGACCAAAGCAGTGACAAGGAGAGGAAGGAGGAACTAAATGAAATGATTTCCCATGAGCAACTTCCAGAGCTAGACAACTTGGGCCTGGATGGCTTTTCCGGTGGACCTGGGGAAGAGGCTTTGTTGCAGATGAGATCAAACATCATCTACGACTCCACTGCCCGAATCAGAAGGAACGCCAAAGGAAACTACTGTAAGAGGACCCCGCTCTACATCGACTTCAAGGAGATTGGGTGGGACTCCTGGATCATTGCTCCGCCTGGATACGAAGCCTATGAATGTCGTGGTGTTTGTAACTATCCCCTGGCAGAACATCTCACACCCACAAAGCATGCAATTATCCAGGCCTTGGTCCACCTCAAGAATTCCCAGAAAGCTTCCAAAGCCTGCTGTGTGCCCACAAAGCTAGAGCCCATCTCCATCCTCTATTTAGACAAAGGCGTCGTCACCTACAAGTTTAAATACGAAGGCATGGCCGTCTCCGAATGTGGCTGTAGATAGAAGAAGAGTCCTGTGGCTTATTTAATAACTGTAAATGTGTATATTTGGTGTTCCTATTTAATGAGATTATTTAATAAGGGTGTACAGTAATAGAGGCTTGCTGCCTTCAGGAAATGGACAGGTCGGTTTGTTGTAGGAAATGCATATTTTCCTCTCCAGTTAAGTCCCTTTCAATCTGTTTTCTCTTTGGACTTGCCATTTCCTGGCAATGCCACCTCCATGTTGATTTGAAAACAACTCCTAGGCAAAATACAGTGTCAAAAGACACATACTTGTGTATGTATATTTGTACATACATGAACTTACAGAAATCTTTTGGTTCTATGCAGGCAGATTATACTCATCTACATGCATGATTCACTCAAAAGTGTGCATATTAAAGGCCAATGGTATGTTCTCTGTTACCTCTTCTCTGAGTAAGATTTAAGTCAAGATAATTTGCATCAGGGTTTTAATCATCCTAGGAAGTATTACAATTCCTAAATACTCTGGAAATGTAAGTGTAACGTTTGTCAGTTGAGTTTCTGTGGTTGCTCAGAGAGGCGGGGACTGGCAAAGGATGCTTGAAAGGAAGGGTTAATTGATACAGAAACCAAATGGACTCAAGAGGTCTTAGAGGTACAACAGGAAAAACTGAACCCATGGGGGACCAGTGTGCTCCAGAGGGCAGCTCCTGGTCAAGGCAGGAAAACAGAAGAAACCAGCATGAATCTGTTCCTGAGACAATAGGAAAGCAAGGCCATGAGTACTGGCTGTTGCTGCTGCTGCGGAGAGTAGAGGGGTCGGGAGGGCACTTGAAGGGGAGAAAGGGAGAAAGGGAAAAGGATATTCATGCTATCCTCAGAGGCTATCCTCAGATGTGTCTGTAAAATCATAAGCGATTCTATTTAAAGAATTAAATCTTTTGGACAAAATAGAAGTATCAAAGACTAACAGGAGGAAAATCAGAAGGGATCTGTCTGTTAGAAGTAAGGATGTTAATATCTTTCTTCACCTGTTAATGCTGTTCCCTTGTCTCCACACCCCTGCTTTCCTCTGCTCCATCTTCTTTCTTCCCTCTTTCTTCTTTGCTCTAGTGCCTCACGCCTTCCTCCCATCCCTGTGTTCCTGCTCTTCCCTGGCCTTCATGACGCATGCTGTGAACTGGAAAGGGACACCTAAGTGCCTTTGTTCTCAGGGTGAAAGGAGTTAGTGTTCTAATTTCTAAATCTTGCCCTGATATTTAATTTGATTTTATTTTAATACTATCCTTTATCAAATGTTGAATACTTAGGTATAAGAAAAAAGAAAACCAGAATAAGTAAGTATAAGAAAAAGAAAACCAGAGTCCAAATGAATGAATTTCAATAAACGAATTTATGGATGGACACACAACCAAATGACTCAAAAGCCAAGACTGAATTTGGAAATCATGTTGGCTTCATGGTAGAAACTCAGTAACTTTCTCATCTTCTCATCTTACCATCTTCCCATTTTGTAACTGGCCAGGACTGAAAGTGGTGGGGAAGTGATCTGCACAGGAAGGGTCCCGTGGGTTTTCCTGGCAGGTGGCAGGCTCCAGTCTTAACCCCTACCATTTCCCTCTACCTGGTAAGCATATCCTGGGTTTTGTGCGGGAGGAACCAGAGCAGAGCAGTTTCCAAACTGTTCCAGCATCTCCAGGCAGGGAACATGGACGGTTCCTGTTAGAACCAGGAATGTGGTTTCCAGTACATCGTCCCCCATTCACCGCTACTTATCTTAAGGAATGCTTTTTAAGAAGTCTGACACTTTTTTCTTTTTTTTACCCTGGAAAACCATCAGCCGCCTTTTACAAATCTCTTAAGATTATAAACTCAAACTGCACTAGACAATAGAGGCAAGGAAAACCATTTTGAAGAACTTTTGCCCAATTTGAACCTCAGCTCGCTAGATCTATAGTCTGCTGGGTGAATCCTGGGGAATTCATTGCTCCTGGAAGAGCGGTATTTTGACCATCAGTGAGTATACAGTGATTGATATTTTGAGAAAGCCACGCAACTCAGAATCACTATTTGTGGAACAGCCTCCATATAACATGATGTGTGTATGTGTGTGTGATGCATAGCTGGCTTTGAACAACCACACTTAACACCCTCAGTGGAACGTGGTGCATCCTTCACACTCCATGGTACACAATATATACTCACATACTCCAAGGTACTTCTTATCCTTTCTAAAGGACACTGTAATAGATACACAGTAAAACCTCAGCTGACCAGGATAGTCCTGGTTAGATAAAAATTAAGCAAAATTTTCTTTATGTCTAATACATATGACTGTGGTGTGCTGGTAAATCCCTTACAACCAGCAATCCAGGGGGGGGAAAAAGCCCTGATTTGTGAATTTCAGTGCTGTAAATGCTCCTACATGGTCTATCTTGAGCTACCAAGGTGCTGTCAACTGGCTTGCAAAACGTCTAAAACCTAAGTCAGCTTTTGGGAGCTGTGCACTGGCACTGGCACACCGCTGACATTTAGTATCCCACTGACATTAGCACACTGCTGACATTAGCACCCTGATACTAGAATGTTAAGGATGTGCCAGCCCTGCTTTCCACTGTGTGCACTGCTGGCTCTGGGCTTGTGGAGAAATCTTGTCTCGAGCACTTATAGTCACTCTTCTGTTAAAGAGATATGAAAATATAGGCTGTTGGCAATTAGGCTGCATAGCCCAGTTTCTCTTTTTGCCCGTTCGGATGTAAACCTGAATTTCTACGATTTTTCTGCTTTGCTGTGGAGAGGGAGTGCAGAGAGCAACATATTGGCTTTTCAAATGTTGCTAGTTGTATTTTTTTGGCTTTCTTTTTATGAGAAAGTGAAAAGACACAGCCCGTAGAGTTCTCCCAACTCTTACCGGATGCCTGGCAGCACACCGGCGTCATCTCCAACTCCTGCATTGACAGGAAGTCAGAACATTGTCAGATCCTTCAAAAGGTAGAATCTCGGTAATGTTTCTCTGGTCATAGACCTTCTGCTAGGTCCCATGCTAGTTTTTTTTTCCCTTTTATGGCAGAATTATCATCACCGAAGTTGATATAGCTAGACAACTCTTGAGGAGAATTACAGCAGAGGGACTTGGGCAGCCCACAGCCAAAATATTCATGTAAGAGTTTCTAGGCTTCCCACTATTTATTGATTGATATATTTATTTTTGTAAAATATTGTAGAATACCAAATATTTTATTTTTATGTCTGTGATTCTCTTTTGGATAGAGAGTCTTCTGGGCTTCAGAATATGGCTCACATATATATGGCTCACATATAATATATGGCCTGTATTTCCATCTCTCTCTTTTTGCATCAGAATGTTCTATTGGTTTAAGGAATCTTCCACAGCTTGCCATAATTTTGTATTTTTGTGTCTTGTAGGCGTGCTGTTTCTCCAAACATGCTTTGTAGTATATTTTCTGATTTGTAAATAGTACAGTTTTAACTGAAGTGTAGATGTTCCAGGAAATATTTAACCAATACATTGTCATGCAGTTTCATAAAGTGATGTTGTCAGTTTATCATGAAAGGCAAATATTGTCAGGCTGTGAGAGAATGTGATTGCTACTCAGTAAATGGAGACGCTATTTAAATGAATCTTTTCATCCCCCAAAGCTGGTACTTCTCCTCTGGAATTTACCTATTGCCTTCACTGACCCAGAAATTCAGAGATGTGATTGGTCAAATTCATTTGTAATTGGACCAATTACTTAGTAAATGTTAAAGATGTTAGCTTAGTGGTTTCCAAAAGAGTCAGCCCCAAAGTGCCCAATTCTTTCCCGATGTGTAAAGTTTGGTCTGGGGAATTAATGACAAAAACTTTTTTTTTCAGAACTGTTACTGAATGTTTCAGTATTTGTTATGATTTACAGTCTTCAAGTAAAAGATATTTTCATGTAAGAGAATTTTATGTATTCTTCTTACTTGATTCATCAACAGATTATGAAGCCCAGCAGTGTTCCGGCAAAACCTTTTTAACTTGTCTAGAACACAGAAGGCGTGTTGTCCTTTTTAAGGACTGTAGATCTTTTCAGAGTCACTGTGGGTCATTCTTAACCCTCTACAGTTCTGCAAGCTCACATGTGGTGCAAGAGGAAAGGCTGGTATGACTCTGTGCATTTTCTTGCCCCTAAACAAGAATAGTTGATTTCATATGTTAAATGGAAGGTAGATATGACTATGCAAGAGAAGTATGCAGGGGTGTTTCTGCAGGTGGAACATTTTTCATAAGTTAAAAACCCATCATGGAATAACTGTTTGTTGTGATCAGCATGTTTTTATCACACATGAGCACTGGTTTTGTGAGCACCTGGCTTGGTAGTGATAGGGCGGCCAATGTGCCAGCGCCTGTCTACTGAGCATTCGTGGACATTGGAAATCAGTGAACGCCACAGACACACTGAATCAGCTGGTGCACGGTCATGTTCTCAGGTAAAACCTGTTCATTATCCATGTCCAGATTTGTATAGTTATCACTAGACTAAAATGAAGATGGAAATAAATATTTTACCCTGTGTTCATGAACCAAATGTGTACATTCAGAGTCTTTTTAAGTAAAATAAAAAAATTATTTTGGTGATAATTATTTGCAGCTTATTTTTCCTTGAGGTGAGATATTTAGTTTTGCACACACCCCACTTTTTCATGTTTCTATTTGATAACATGTCCAGAGGGAATAAAACTAATTGCTATATTAATAGAGAACGGTCTGAAGAAAGCATAAGTTGTTTTGGGCTTGTAACTGACCTTAGTAGAGACTGGGATTTTGTGGCTCCATGGTTCTCCCACTTTATATGACTTTGTGTAATTCCCATTAATGCACAGGCATTCATAGAAAATACAATTGGCTCCCTTTTGTCAGTAGCTGGGAAATATTTCTTCTTCAAATACCAAAGGAGGCAGATTAGTGGTAACAGTCCTGGCCAACAGAGAAACCTTGCTGCTTGTTCAAGAAGGAAATTCATTCTTATGGCAGAATGTGGAATTTGAAGGGCAGAGGGACAGCCCCAGGTAGAATAAAATCTCTTCCATCAGAAAATCATCCTGCATCTCATTTTTGAGGGGAAGCCTCCAGTGTCTCAGCTGGCAGTCTGAATCTGGCAAGTGTGTCGGAGGGAGGCAAGCCCTCAGCCCTGGATGAGCACTGATAAGGTGAGACAGGGCTCGCCCGTGGAGGAAAGGGAGCTGACAGCCCAAGATGGGGCTGAGCCCAGGACTGGACTAAACAGGCCTGAAAAGCCACTCCTGTAACTTGATTTTGAGTTCTTTAGCAACCTATTCATTCTCTTCTTTAAATAAGCCCATTTATGAAAGTCTGTCACAACGTGGGGTCTGGAACCCATCTCTGCAATTGGTTTGACCTGAGCACAGCTATGCTGGGACCAGCCGCCTTGTTCTGGGATTTCTTTCCTACTGATACAGCCTGGAATTGCACTGGGCAGACACACAGCCTCAAGTGATTTGGGGGGTAGTTTGTTTACAAAGTAAGACAAAAAATTATTTTCAAAGCTCGCATTATACATTTGCAGTATGTTACAGGTTCTAATAGTACTCCTGATGTGAACTGAGCTTTGTGGTGTGGGGAAATCATGCCACGAGATCGCTGTGTGTGACTCCAGTCACATGAATGAGAACCCACTTTCATATAGAAGTGACTATTTGTAAATAAGGGGCCTATGTGGAGAAGGTGAGAGCTTGTTAACTTGGGTGGTTATAAATGGATTATGTGATTATCTCCGACTCACTCTCCTGAACTGTCAGTTTACAAGAAACAGTTCCTGCCCTCTCTTAACCTTCCTCAGACCATTCACACAGATCTAAAGTAGCTCATCTCGTTCCAAGAAAGAAAGCCCAGAAATACATGGACACCGCAATACATTTTTACCCTTCAATGTGATTCTGAGAATCTTATTAAAAATTTAGGCCACTCAGTTCAAATTAAGATTGATGGGAGGTGTGAATTACATTGTCAACTCGAGATTTGCTAGAAAGTTTTCACACACAAATCACTGAGCCCACTTCCTTGCACAGCATGGGAATAGTTTTAGAAAATTTAGTTCTAACTCTTCATTAGTATCTCTGCCTAAAATGCATACCATAACCTTACTAATTATGAGGAGACATCAGGTGAACCTATTTTAAGAAGATTCCGCACTCTTAAAAAGTCAATGAAAGGCAAAGACAGTTTGAGAAACTGTTATAGATTAAAACAGACTACAGAAGCATGACAACTAAGTGCAGTATGTGGTCCTGAATTGGGTCCTAGACAACTCAAAAACTGGCCAAAAGCACCTTATCTTTTTGTTAAG